AACAGGGCATGCTCGATCGCAGCAGCACCAACAGCGACGGCATATATATATATATATATATATATAGCAGTGGATGCCGCAGCATCTGCATTGGCCTTCTGGAGCCTCTAAAGAATCAGCTCACTAGGAGATTCTCACGTGAACCCTAAACCCTACACCCTAAACCCTAAACGCTAGGGGGATAATTCTAAACCCTCGCAGATTCCAAGAGTCTAGCTGAAGGCAGATCAAACGTAACGGACGAGGAACCCCCCTCCATCTCTTCCCGCCCCTGAGGCATCAAGCCGCTGCTGCAGCACACCTGCAGCAGCTACTGCTGCTGCAGAAGCTTCTGCTGCTTCTGCAGCAGCTTCTGCAGCTGCTTCTAAAGCTGCTTCTGCGGCAGCTTCTGCAGCTGGCTGTAAAGCTGCTTCTGCAGCAGGTGCTGCGGCTAGTTCTGCAGCTGCTTCTGCAGCAGGAGCTGCAGCTACTTCTGAAACCGCTGCAGCAGCAGCAGCAGCAACACCTGCTGCTGCTGCTGCTGCTGCATATGGCGGAGTGTGTTGAGTATTTGTTTGGGTTTAAAACATGACGGTGAAGAACATAGTAAGGAAGGTGTAGCTGATGTAGCACTGAAGAAAGAAGTAAAGGACCTCAAAGGCGAGAACAAACGAAAATAAAAAAGAAAACAAACCCGAGCTCATCGTCGCCAGCACCATTTTCATCACTTCACCAAACACACTAAATGCAAGCAAAGGACGCACAGCCTGAGACACACACACACACAATAAACCCCCATAAACCCTAAACCCTAAACCCTAAACCATAAACTCTAATAATCCCTAAACCCTAATCGGCAATAATATACCCCGAAGAAAAACCAAGTCGCACAAAGTGCAAGCATCCTAAACCCTAGACGATAAACCCTTTTTGTGTGTATTTTCTGCCCTAGTGTTTGGGGTGTATATACACCTGGAAGGTCGTGCGCGCCATGAACATGAAGTAGAAACGGAAAGACAAAAGATACTGCACAGCGAAGCTCAGCATCTTTACAGGCCTCAAGAACTCGATAGTCATAGGTGAAGGCAGCATCCCTGGCTTTGTTTTTGTAAGGGGTGATGCTAAAGACAGAACTGCACCCTTAGGTGAGCCTGCTGAGGGCCCCCCATGTGTGGGTGGCGCAAAAGGAGGGGCCCCCTGGGGGCCCTTCGCCATGCTGCTGAAGCTTGCTGCTGCTGTTGCTGCTGCTGCTGTTGCTGCGCGACACGGCAGCAGGCTGCTCCCCACAGGTCCCTGCATGCAAAAAAATAAAGAGGTGATGCAGAAGAAAGAGACAAAATAATTAAGGGAGAATAAAAGAGAAGCAAACAAGAGACAGAAAGATTAACAAGGCAGGAAGCCTCGTCAAGCTGCGCACCTGCAGTCCAAAGCGTGTGCCGTAAAAACCCAAGTTCGTCCCCGTCCTGAGCACACCCTAAACCCTAAACCCTAAACCCTAAACCCTCACCCCTAAATAACCCCAATGCACAAGGGAGACGCAGCAACAAAACAGGTGCATGAAGCCGGTGTAAGAAAAAGGCCCCAGCAGATGCAGCGTATGCATCTACACCGCACCGCAAGAATGTATACACCTCAAACCTATGAACAAGACTAGTTGCTTGCCTTCAGGCAAAAAGAAGGCCTATCCAAGGTGAAGGGGGGTTAGGGTTTAGGGTTTAGGGTTTAATAAACACAGGAAGGACAAGGGTAATAGGCCACCTGAGAGACAGAGTCCGCCCAATGGAGCCACTGAAGGCTCGCGCAGCAGCAGCAAACGCCATCCTTGCTGCTGTTGCTGCTAGGACTGCAATGGCAAGGACAAGCTACGGCAGCAGCAGCAGCAACAGCAGCAGCAGCAGCAACAGCAGCAACGGGAGAGTTGCAGCGCTGGCTTATAGACAACAAAAAGCTAAAGCTTCCAGGCAAGGAGTTAATATGGAAACAGAAAGGAGAAGAAGATATAGGGCCTCCTTCTCTAGTAGCGACAGGGGCCTCGACGACACACTGTGGGTGGCGGTAGAGAGAGGCCCCCAAGCAAGACAGCAGGAAATAATACTCCTAAATATAATCTAATAATTGTATTAATTTATTTATATATATATTATATATAAAGTTTGGTCTTCTTATATCGAGGGTTTGGTGGCTGCAGCGGGAGGCCAACAGCAACACAGCCGCCTCTATTCCCTGCATGCGCCGACAGCAGCGCAGCGCTTCGTTAGTTGTCTAGGAGTTAAAGTAAGCCCTCAAAATGATTAAATAGAAATTATTTCTATTTCATATTATTTAATGTGTAAAGTAAAACCATATTCAATGCAAGGAAGAAGAAAATAGAGAGAGTAACAGAGTGGACGACGAGGGTATCGATCCCTCTACCTCTCGCATGCTAAGCGAGCGCTCTACCATTTGAGCTAGACGCCCTTATTGCGCTGTCTTTGTCAACAATGCAGCACAAGGAATATCTTGTCATTATTATCTTATATTACCAATCCAATTATTATTAAACAGCATGGGGACTGTCTAATATTATTAACTAGCTGTTAGTACTATGCAGCTCAAGTCTGTCTTGTGATTGATTCCACTTCTTAGCTCCTTACTAGTGACATACAACGCTAGGAGTGTCTTCTATCCTGCGGCATGCTGCAGGAAGAGTGTCTTCTGCTTACTACCCTTAGAAACTGTCTCCTTATGCTCTCCCCTTATAATATACTGCACGACGTCTCTTCTAGTTATTGCTCTCAACGAACTGTCTCTTTGTACTATGCAGCATGAGAGTTTGTTTTATCTATGAACCCCAACAAACTGCTATAACGCAGCACAAGAAGTGCCTTGTAATTACTACGTTCAATCACCTGTCTCTTTATAATATGGAGCGAAAGGGGTGTCTCCTAACTTACAATAAAATGTGGAAAACGAGTGTCTTACAGTTTTTATTACACCTAACGAACTGTCTCCTTGCGACATACAACGCGCGGAGTGTGATCTAGTTGTTATTCTCTTGAAGATACTGTCTGCGTATAATATGCAGCACAAG